TACTTATTGGAACCTTGGCAATCATTCTTGTAATAACCATTTCAGGTGAGGTTCCAAGCTTTTTTAAATAGCATTCCCGACGTTTCTGATGACTGACGAACGTGCGGTTCGCACGCACAACAGCCGTCTTGACCATCTTTTTTCTTGAGATTGTCTAGTCAATTCTCTCATTTTTGCGCGAATCGTGTGACAGGTATTCTCCTGGTTGCTATGCACAATCCCCACCGGAAAATAGATACCAACGTGCCTAATTTGCTCCGACATTTTACCGAATTTCCCGTGCAGCGTCTTCCTGGCAGACCGCCCGAGCATTCGGCTACGACGATGGCACCCAACAGGCCGACGGCACCCAGCTGAATACCGACGGCACCCAGCTGAATACCGACGGCACCCAGCTGAATTCCGACGGCAACCAGCTGAATTCCGGCGCCGATCAGAAGCAGCCGAATTCCGATGGCGTTCAGACCGACAACTCCGTGGCACCGATTGCAAATGACAACAGCGGATACACCAATAGCGGATATACCAATACACCCAGCGTTGAATCTGTCCCGGCCAAAACCAGCAAACCGAACTCCGGCGAAACTTCCGCGGCGATCGTCGTTCCCGTTGGCGCGACAGTCGGCCCGGTAGCCGTCAACGCCGCTGGCGGGCTCAAAGTGACGGGCGGCAACAACCAGGTGGAGATTAATCCTTCCGGTAGTGCTGACGTCAGCTCTGATCTGCTTAAGACCAGCGCTTCTGGGGATGCAATTGGCTCCGCGAGATTCAACCGTGAGGGAGTCACCGTGAACGCCGACGGATCCGCAAACGCGAACGTGTTTAACGGCGTCGGGACGGGCGAGGCGAACGCGAAGGGCAGCGCCGGCGTGACGAAAACCGGGGTCAACGCGGACGCCGCGATTGGAGCGAACGCTGACGTGGCAGGCGTAGGAGCGAATGTGAATGTCGGCGCTGGCGGCGGGTTCAACAAGAAAGAAGTTAACGCGAATGCCGGGTTTGGAGTTTACGGGAACGTGGGGAATATCGCGGGTGCCGGAACTAATATCGGATCGACGGCTAAGGTTAGCCGTGACGAGATTGCCGCGAATGCCGGGTTTGGAATTGGCGCGAATGTGGGAGGTATTGGGGCAGGAGGCACGGCCGCGTCGACGGCTGAGATTAGCCGCAAAGGCGTGAAAGCTGGGGCGAATGCGGGCGCTTCGGTGCAACTCGGCGACGTTTACGCGAGGAGCTTAGACGTTTCGGCTCAGGCGGAATTGCGTGGGTTGGGATTTACCCTAAATGTGAATCTTGTCGACCAGGCAAAAATCCTGGGAGTGAGCGGGAAAGACGAAGCTACGACGACGTTGGTTCTCGGCGATCCGAACACGAACGTGCCGCAGCTGGTGGTTCGGCTTAGCAAGGGGATGAGCTGCGTCAACATTCCGGACAGTTTCGCACGTTCGGCGAATTTCGTGCAGGTGTCGTGGCGCAGTACGGTAACGGCGGATGGGACGACAGAAGAAGTTGCGACGGGGTGCAAAAAAATTGTCGCGCAGCCGCAGAAGGGGTGCCAGGGTAACCCGCTGAATAAATTCGAGTTCAATCCTTCGTCTGCCCGCAAGGCCATGAACAAGTTTTTCGGGTCAGTTTCGTCGTATACCCCCCTTCCATCCCCCCTTCCACGCTCCGTGGCTCTATCTGTATGCGCTATGCTTCCCTCCCTCTCCCCCTTCCCTTCCCCCTCCCTCTCCCCCTTCCCTTCCGCCTCCCTCTCCCCCTTCCCTTCCGTCTCCCTCTCCTCATTCCCTTCCCCCTCCCTCTCCCCCTTCCCTTCTCCCTCCCTCTCCCCCTTCCCCTTCCCTCCTTTCCCCCTTCCCCTTCCCCCCCTCCCCCTTCCCCTTCCCCCCCTTCACCCTTCCCCTCCCCCCACTTCCCCCTTCCCCTTCCCCCCCGTTCCCCCTTTCCCTTCCCCCTTTCCCACTCTCTTTTCCTCCCCACTCAGCCGTCTCTCCCTATCTCTCAACCAGTCCCTTCCTGCACTGCCCTAGATCGGCACCAACATACGTACCCCTTCTTGCGCCTCACACTGGCCTGCTCTAGTAGCTATTTGAGTATTACATCAACAATCTCTTTTTAGGGCGCCTAAAAAATCACCTCAATGCACGAGGATACATATTGAGGCGCCTCAAAAATCACCTTGAAGCTTTCAGAGTAATACACCAACAAACTCTTTTCGCACACTTTCCTATTCCATCACATTGTTCCCATCCTCCATTCCCCTACTTCCCCATTCCCTGCCTTCCCCTCTCCCTCCTTCCTTCCATCATCCCCCCTCTCCCCATTATTTTCCCCCCATTCCCCTCCGAACCAGCAGTGTCTTTCCAAAAAAGCTCTACTCACCCACTCGCCTCTCACCGACCTGTTCCCCCTTCCCCCGCACTTCTCCCTCTCCCCCCTTGCCTCTCTTAAACCATCAGCATGTTCCGCATCAAGAAAAAGGAGGTCGCCCGCTCCCTGCGCTGCGTCAACTGTGAGTCCCCGCCCCCCAAGTCCCCCCAGGTCCCCCCAAGTCCCCCCAGGTCCCCCCAAGTCCCCCCAGGTCCCCCCAAGTCCCCCCAGGTCCCCCCAAGTCCCCCCAGGTCCCCCCAAGTCCCCCCAGGTCCCCCCAAGTCCCCCCAGGTCCCCCCAAGTCCCCCCAGGTCCCCCCAAGTCCCCCCAGGTCCCCCCAAGTCCCCCCAAGTCCCCCCAAGTCCCCCCAAGTCCCCCATAGCATCCTAGCTGCAATGTAGCGGGTGACTCAAAATCCACCCTGCTACCTGCGTTGTGCTGCAGTATCCACCCTTCCCCCCTTCCCCACAACCCCCCCCTCCTCTCTCCCCCCTGAAAAAAGAAAGTCCCAACTGCAGCATTCTAGCTGCCCAAGCAGCCTACCATCCTAGCATTCCAGCATCCTAGTATCCCAACTGCATCGCGGCACTCCCTGCACTTTCTTTTGAGACAACTCAAAGAGTCACCTCACCCATTGTCACGTCACCCATTGTCACCTCACCCGTTCTCACCTCACTCACCCGTTCTTGCCTCACCCACTGTAGGAGGAAATTCAGGAGGACAACAGGCAGCACTGGTGGTGTCTGTAGAGGTAAATGCAGGAGAACAACACGCAGCAGCCATTTCCAAGCTAAAAAACTCAAATAAGGCCCATTTCTCAAATAAGCTTCATCTGTTGCTTCTCTCACACAAGTCCCATTTCTTGTACGGTACCGTCCTTCTATGGTGTAGGCATCAACTACAGTATCTGCATGTCCCTCTTATATAATAATTGTAAAATGGCCATCAAGCCTTTTCAGCAGCAGTCTATCAACCTCGTAATATGGCGTACAGTACCATGTGTTACACATGCCCTACAGCAAAGATCCTACACCCAGCAATGCCTCGCTACCTATCTCTGGCTCACCTTCACATTCCCCTCTTTCCCTCCCCTCGATGAGGCTCCTCCCCTCCCACCCCCTCCTCTCCCTCTCCCTCCCCTCCCTCCTCTTCCCCCTCCCCTCCCTCCACCTTTCCCTTGTTCTCCTGATGCCCCTCCTGCCGCTCCCCCTCCGGCCCCTCCTGTTGCTTCCCCTTCCGAACCTACTGGTTTGGTTCGGCGCTTGCTTCGCCAGAGCAGCCGGATCGGTGTGCCTTCAAAGTCAATATTCTCCCGAAGCTGATTTTCCATGTATCGCCTATACTGCTGCCCGAAAAGTTTCGCGTCGTTCACGAAAAACACAAAGGTCGGTGGGTTGGTAGCTGCCTGAGTGCTGTAGTATATTTTTCCTCGTTTGTTACCCTTTCCGCCCCCGGGCAGCGGTTGAAAAGAAACAGCCTCTCCGACCACCTGGTTCAGTGTGGCTGTTGTGAGGCGCTTGGCCCGCTGCTGGGCAGCAAAACGGGCAGCTTCCAAAATCCTGAGCAAGGACGAGGCGAGAAAAGAGGAACATAGTAAGTGTGAGCGAGAGAATTCGCATGTGAGCGTGTGTGTGCGCCATGTGAGGGCATGCCAAGTAACTGCGTGCCATGTGAGGGCATGCCAAGTAACTGCGTGCCATGTGAGGGCATGCCAAGTAACTGCGTGCCATGTGAGGGCATGCCAAGTAACTGCGTGCCATGTGAGGGCATGCCAAGTAACTGCGTGCCATGTGAGGGCATGCCAAGTAACTGCGTGCCATGTGAGGGCATGCCAAGTAACTGCGTGCCATGTGAGGGCATGCCAAGTAACTGCGTGCCATGTGAGGGCATGCCAAGTAACTGCGTGCCATGTGAGGGCATGCCAAGTAACTGCGTGCCATGTGAGGGCATGCCAAGTAACTGCGTGCCATGTGAGGGCATGCCAAGTAACTGCGTGCCATGTGAGGGCATGCCAAGTAACTGCGTGCCATGTGAGGGCATGCCAAGTAACTGCGTGCCATGTGAGGGCATGCCAAGTAACTGCGTGCCATGTGAGGGCATGCCAAGTAACTGCGTGCCATGTGAGGGCATGCCAAGTAACTGCGTGCCATGTGAGGGCATGCCAAGTAACTGCGTGCCATGTGAGGGCATGCCAAGTAACTGCGTGCCATGTGAGGGCATGCCAAGTAACTGCGTGCCATGTGAGGGCATGCCAAGTAACTGCGTGCCATGTGAAGGCATGCCAAGTAACTGCGTGCCATGTGAGGGCATGCCAAGTAACTGCGTGCCATGTGAGGGCATGCCAAGTAACTGCGTGCCATGTGAGGGCATGCCAAGTAACTGCGTGCCATGTGAGGGCATGCCAAGTAACTGCGTGCCACACGAGAAGCTGATGACAGTGCTGGTGGTGGCCTTGCTAGGCGCTCAACTCGCACACCCATACACACACATCCTCACAAGCACTCACTTGGCCACTCTCTGCGCCGTGGTCGCAGAGGTGAACACCAGCGGAGCCCATTTTGCAATTTTACCCACATGCTCAAGCACCCCCCCCTGCCCCTCCTCCACACACACATCCTCACAGGCACTCACTTGGCCACTCTCTGCCCCGTGGTCGCAGAGGTGAACACCAGCGGAGCCCAGGGCATGGAGCGCAGCTTCCCCCGCACGTCCTCCGTGTAGCTCACTGTGCTGGTGGCGTCTTTATCCGGCACCGTGTCCCACTTGTTCACTATCACCACACACGCCTTGCCCTCCCTCTCTATCTGCTCCGCCAGTCGAAGGTCCTGTGGGAGGGGAAGAGATGGAGAGACGAGACGGGAGTGCAGGAAAAAAGGGTGAGGGAGAGAAGACCTGATTGCCCTCTGCGCCCGATTCACTGACAGCCCCTCCGCCCTGCTGCCTGCTGCCTGCTGCCTGCTGCCTGCTGCCCGCTGCCTGCTGCCTGCTGCCTGCTGCCTGCTGCCTGCTGCCTGCTGCCTGCTGCCTGCTGCCTGCTGCCTGCTGCCTGCTGCCTGCTGCCTGCTGCCTGCTGCTGCCTGCTGCCTGCTGCCTGCTGTCCTAGAGGCACACGCGACCCCTATACAGTCACCACGCACATTCACACCCACCTGCTCTGTGACACACAGCATGGCATCAACCACCAGCCCCACCACGTCCGCCCGCCTGATGGCCCTCAGCGCGCGATTCACTGACAGCCCCTCCGCCCTGCTGCCTGCTGCCACTGCTGCTCGCCTGCGCACACCCGCTGTATCGATCAATGTGTACTCCTGAACAGAGATCACAGGGAGGACGGACACAAGTGAGAAAGGGGATGAGGATAGCTAGGAAATAGACCCTCCGCCCTGCTGCCTGCTGCCACTGCTGCTCGCCTGCGCACACCCGCTGTATCGATCAATGTGTACTCCTGAACAGAGATCACAGGGAGGACGGACACAAGTGAGAAAGGGGATGAGGATAGCTAGGAAATAGACCCTCCGCCCTGCTGCCTGCTGCCACTGCTGCTCGCCTGCGCACACCCGCTGTATCGATCAATGTGTACTCCTGAACAGAGATCACAGGGAGGACGGACACAAGTGAGAAAGGGGATGAGGATAGCTAGGAAATAGACCCTCCGCCCTGCTGCCTGCTGCCACTGCTGCTCGCCTGCGCACACCCGCTGTATCGATCAATGTGTACTCCTGAACAGAGATCACAGGGAGGACGGACACAAGTGAGAAAGGGGATGAGGATAGCTAGGAAATAGACCCTCCGCCCTGCTGCCTGCTGCCACTGCTGCTCGCCTGCGCACACCCGCTGTATCGATCAATGTGTACTCCTGAACAGAGATCACAGGGAGGACGGACACAAGTGAGAAAGGGGATGAGGATAGCTAGGATATAGACCCTCCGCCCTGCTGCCTGCTGCCACTGCCGCTCTCCTGCGCACCCCCGCCGTGTCGATCAATGTGTACTCCTGAATGGGCATTGTGGTAAGGAGAGTAGACATAGCAGGGAGAGGGGGTGAGAGAAGTTAGGAAACGGCCTTCCGCCCTGCTGCCTGCTGCCACCGCCGCTCTCCTGCGCACCCCTGCTGTGTCGATTAGTGTGTACTCCTGAACGGGAGGGAGAGGCAGCAAGGGGGATGGGAGAGGCAGCAAGGGGGATGGGAGAGGCAGCAAGGGGGATGGGAGAATTGAGGCAAGGATCCTCCGCCCTGCTGCCTGCTGACTTTTGAGTCGACTCAAAAGTCAATTGAGGCAAGGATCCTCCGCCCTGCTGCCTGCTGACTTTTGAGTCGACTCAAAAGTCAATTGAGGCAAGGATCCTCCGCCCTGCTGCCTGCTGCGACCGCTGCTCGCCTGCGCACCCCTGCTGTGTCGATCAGAGTGTATTCCTGAACGGGTTGAGGTGGGAGGCGGAGAGGAGATGGATTGTGGAGTCAGTAAGAGACGTTGATTCTGCTTTTTATCCGGCTGTTGCTGCTGCTGGTATAGGGAAGTACTCACTCATGCATGGTCAGTATGAGGACATATGCCACACAGCCCTGTCAGCAACGCATGAGCACACACACAAAACCACGCACGCACGCACGCACGCACGCACGCACGCACGCACGCACGCACGCACGCACCCACGCACGCACCCACCCACCCACCCACCCACCTGTCCGTCTGGTCCGGTGAACTTGGAGTCAATGGCATCGCGGGTGGTGCCGCTGACAGGGCTCACGATGGTGTGTGAAAGTACCCGTTATGAACATGAGGACACACACAAACAGACAAAAACACCCACCTGCCCATCTGGCCCGGTGAACTTGGAGTCAATGGCATCTCTGGTGGTGCCGCTGACAGGGCTCACGGTGGTAAGGGGAAATAATCTATCAGCTTGAGGAGACACACACACACACACACACACACACACACACACACACACACACACACACACACACACACACACACACACACACACACACACACACACACACACACACACACACACACACACACACACACACACACACACACACACACACACACACACACACACACACACACACACACACACACACACACACACACACACACACACACACACACACACACACACACACACACACACACACACACACACACACACACACACACACACACACACACACACACACACACACACACACACACACACACACACACACACACACACACACACACACACACACACACACACACACACACACACACACACACACACACACACACACACACACACACACACACACACACACACACACACACACACACACACACACACACACACACACACACACACACTTGCACATAAACCCACCTGTCCATCTGGCCCGGTGAATTTGGAGTCGATAGCGTCTCTGGTGGTGCCGCTGACAGGGCTCACGATGGTCCTCTCCTCCCCCAGCAGCGCGTTCACTATGCTGCTCTTGCCCACGTTGGGCCGCCCCACTATTGCCAGAGACACTCGCCCCAGCTGCAGGGGAGTGTGGAGTGATAGAGCAGCACAGCAGGGAGGAATGAGTGACAATAATGATAGCAGCAATGAGAAAGAGTGGTTAAGTATAAAAGGCGCCTCAAAACGTACCCGAATGCTGGAAGTAGAGTAATTTGCTGGTGATGGTGGACGAGAGTGAGGTGGGGCTGATCGCGGTGGGAGTGAGTGAGATGAAAGTGAGTGAGATAAAAGTGAGTGAGATGAAAGTGAGTGCGGTGCCCCCAACACCTTAGGTGTGTGATTACCACCAAGCAGCGACCAACCTGTGTGGTAGCAGCAGTGTCGCTGCCGGTGATCGCGGAAAGAGAAGTGGACGATTCGGGTTCCTGCACGGTAAGAGGGGACAAGAGAGCAGATGAGAGGAGAGTAGTGTTTAGAGGAAAGGAGGAGAGGTGTGGGGAGTTTGAGCATGATAAAAAGCATGGTAGGAGTCTAAGCAAGAGAATGCTTGAGGGTTCTTACGGAATGAGTGTACTGTGTATCACCACGGACCTCCTCATTCCCCCCCGACCTACTAGTCATATATCAATCTCATCCCCCTCCTCATGCCCTCGACTTCTGCAACGGCAGCGCCTGTAAAGGCTCATCCAGCTGTGATGTGCTTTGAATTGTGCCTTCCCTCGTTCCCTTGATGACTATCAGCATTGTCGCCCGCATCGCATCAACTAACCAGCCTCCTGGGACAACAGCTCATTTAGCAGGTCGTCCGTGCCCGTGCCCGTGCCCGTGCCCGTCCCGTGCCCGTGCCCGTGCCCGTCCCGTGCCCGTGCCCGTGCCCGTGCCCGTGCCCGTGCCCATGCCAGTGCCAGTGCCCGTGCCCGTGCCCATGCCCGTGCCCGTGCCTGTGCCTGTGCCCATGCCTGTGCCCGTGCCCGTGCCCATGCCCGTGCCCGTGCCCGTGCCCGTGCCCGTGCCCGTGCTCGTGCCCATGCCAGTGCCAGTGCCAGTGCCAGTGCCTGTGCCCATGCCCGTGCCTCTGCCTGTGCCCGTGCCTGTGCCTGTGCCCGTGCCTGTGCCTGTGCCCGTGCCTGTGCCTGTGGCCGTGCCCGTGCCTGTGCCCATGCTCATTCCATCATCATCATCCTCCTCATCATGTGCCTGTGGTGGCTCACCTCCTGTGACGGCAGAGCCTTCATCAGCTCATCCAGCAGGTCACCCATGCCCGTGCCCATGCCTGTGCTTTGCTTTGCCTCCTCCCACACGCATACCCTGTGCCTCACCCCCCTCTTACTCATCCCCTCACCTCAGCGGACGGCAGAGCCTTCATCAGCTCATCCAGCAGGTCGCCCGTGCCCGTGCCTGACAGGGCAGATACAGCCATGGGGGTCAGGCTGGGGTGGGGTATGGAGTTGGGGGGGGGGGGGGGGGATGGGAATGAGGATGGGGCACAAGAGGGAAACAAAGCGAGGGGAGGGATGCGGATGGTGCAAGGAAAGCTCGCACTTGTGGGGGCCCAGCCCAGACGAACCAGTCCCAGCGACCAGCAGCCCAGCCCCAGCGACCAGCAGCCCAGCCAGCCCCAGCGACCAGCAGCCCAGCCAGCCCCAGCGACCAGAACTCTGCGGTCTGCAGGGGCCATTCGTGGGCGACTGACACTTATTCACTGCCAGTGTGTCTAACTCACCTTCAGTTCCTCCCCTCCTTAGCACCCTTTTTCCATTTCCACTCACCCCAGCGACCAGAGCTCTGCGGTTTGCAGGAGCCCCTTGGTGGGCGACTCGACTCGCACTTGTTCAATGCCAGGAAGATGCAAGGCGACAGCCACTTTTGAGTCGACTCAAAAATCGACTCACTACAGGAAGATGCAAGGCGACAGACAGCCACCATCCTCCCCTTTCCCTTCCTCATACTCACCTCAGCTGCAGGCTGTGAGGAAGTAACAAGGTCTCTTACTCACCCCAGAGACCAGAATTCTGCGGTTTGCAGGAGCCCCTTGGTGGGTGATTCACACTTGTTCACTGCCAGAAACACCGGCTTGCTGCTTGCCACGTGGCGCCGCCGCAGCCACTGAGCAATCTCCACGTCAGCAGCTGTTGCGCCAGCCTGGCAGAGTTTGGAAGGGGGAGATGTGGTGGGAGGGAGGGAGGTATGGGCGGGATTTGAGATTGGAGCGCATTAACACCTACAGTTATATCATGCAGAAGAGGATTATACATGCCTGCCCAAACTTTCATGCTCGGCCCCACCCAGCTGCCCATCCGCCACCATAATGATCGCATCAGCCTCCTCCAACGCTGTCCTTTTATAGCATCTCACACAGACCATTAACCTCCCTGATATTTCAAAAACCCCCCACCTGCCCATCCACCCACGTGCCCATCCACCACCATGATGATCGCATCAGCCTCCTCCACGGCAGCAGCAGCAGCAGCAGCATCACCTCTAAAGCAAAACCCTTGCCCATCGACCCTGTAGAGGACAACCGTGTATCATCACCCACCTGCCCATCCACCACCATGATGATCGCATCAGCCTCCTCCACGGCAGCAGCAGCCTGTCGGCCAATCAGCTCCGGCAAACCCGCCACCTCAGCCTCCTTTGCCGCCCGCTCGTTGGCCAATCGGCCGCCACCACCTGTATCGGCCGCAACGATACGTGTATGTAGGTAGGGAATGAGTGACCGATGAAGAGGAGATTGTTTTCTCAAGCACTTGGGGTTCGGGGGCAGCTGGTGAACGGCAGAAGCATCTACAGAAACGAAAATTCGCTCCTCCAGTCTTGTCTGTCTGTTGAGTCCGATAGAATATCTTGAGGTTTATGAGACAAACAGTTGCCTACACTCACCGCTGAGCTGAACGCAACGCCCTCGGGCCGGCCGGGCCAGTGCGAGCAAGGTTATAGGCAAGGCAGTTCCCTTTTGAGACTACTTACAAGTCAACTCGTTACATCCAGTCACTCACCAACGACAGCAACGCCATCCGCCTTGGCCAGTGCGAGCAATGCCGTGGACGAAGCTGATCCCCACCCTGCCCTCCCGCCCCTACCACCCTCGCCTCCATACTCAAGACAAACCACAACGTTACATCCAGTCACTCACCGATGACCGCGACGCCATCGGCCTTGGCCAGTGCCAACAATGCAGTGGACGAAGCTGATCCCCGCCCTGCCCTCCCGCCCCTACCGCCCTTGCCCCTCTTCACACCCACACCCTCTGCACCATCAGCAGCCGCAGCAGCAGCACCAGCAGCACCGCTAGCACCACTGGTAGCAGCAGCAGCAGCAGCAGCGGCAGCATTGGGTGCGTCCATGAGGCCTCCGGTGTCCGTGAGAAGGAACTGCTGGCCCTCCCAGAGAGCACGCGCGTACAGCCTGTCCCTTGTCACCCCAGGCTCGTCATGCACTATGGCTATGTTGCGCTGGGGGGGGAGGGAGGGGTGGGGGGGAAGGGGGGAAGGGGAGGCGAGGGGGAGGAGGATGGGATTGAGAAGCAACAGCACTAGCAACATCACCACCAGCAGCGGCAGCACCACCACCGGCACCAGCAGCAGCAGCATTGGGTGCGTCCATGAGGCCTCCGGTGTCCGTGAGAAGGAACTGCTGGCCCTCCCAGAGAGCACGCGCGTACAGCCTGTCCCTTGTCACCCCAGGCTCGTCATGCACTATGGCTATGTTGCGCTGGGGGGGGTGAGAAGGGGGAAGGGGCGGCAGACGGAGGGAGCAAGTACAGCAACATGCTATTGAGCAGCAGCAGCAGCAGCAGCAGCAGCAGCAGCAGCAGCAGCAGCAGCAGCAGCAGCAGCAGCAGCAGCAGCAGCAGCAGCAGCAGCAGCAGCAGCAGCAGCAGCAGCAGCACCACCACCACCACCACTGGCACAGCCGGCCCCTTGCCACCCCAGGCTCTTCACGCACTATGTTGCGGTGGAAAAAAAACCACTTTATTCCACTCCACTCCACTGCATCCCACTCAGCTCATATACCCACCCCCACGAGGCGGTTGAAGAGAGCTGACTTGCCCACGTTGGGTCGCCCCACTATGGCCACTCGCGGCAACGGTGAAGCATCTCATCTCAACAACACACATTAGGCCAATAATCAACAACTACACTCCACTCCGCTCCACTGCACCCCACTCCACCCCACTCCACCACTCACCCCCACGAGGCGGTTGAAGAGAGCTGACTTGCCCACATTGGGTCGCCCCACTATGGCCACTCGAGGCAGCAGATGCTCCGGTACCTGCCAGCCATGCCCCCATGCCATGGAGTAAAGAAAAGGGGCGTTTTTTTTTTTTAACACATGTATGTGAACCCAATTTCATGCCAGTGCACATTATGCCATGCAATCTCTGTTGGTTCGGCCCACTATGGCCACTTGAGGCAGCCGTTGCGACTGCTCTCGTTCCCTTTCCTTCTTCTCTATCGCCTCCACCACCCGCTTTAAGGCGCCTAATAACTCCAAAAACCTTGATAAACCCGAAACCTCCGTAATCCCTTGCGATCAGACAAACGTTCCTAGCTCACCTACACTGTGACCACCTGTCGTCGTCGCCAGCATTTGCGCCTGCTCTCGTCCCTCTCCTGCTTCTCCATCGCATCCATCCACCACCTACCCTGATAAACCCTGAACCTCGATGAACCAGTAAACATTGATACACCTTCGAACCCTCAATTTTCGCAAGATTAACGCTCTGATCTCACCTCCTCCGTGACCTCCCGTCGCCGCCGCCAGCCCTTGCGCCTGCTCTCGTCCTGCTTCTCTATCGCCTCCACCACCACCGCCATCGCTGCTCTCTCCCAATCCGCTGCTGCCATCTGTACAACAGCATCGTCCTCCTCCTCGTCCACCTCCCCTTCCTGCTCTCCCTCCTCTAAACCCTCCTCCTCTTCGTCTAAATCGTCGATTTCATCTTCCCACTCTTCCTCCTCCCAGTCCTCCTCCTCTTCCTCCTCCTCCTCCTCCTCCTCCTCTACTTTCAGCGGTCCTTGCTTCCCCTTCTCCCCTTCCCCGGACCCCTTGATTGCGCGGAGGCGTGCTCCGCGGAATGCGGAAGGCTGCTTGTGCGAGACATCGTGATGAGATAGGGAGTGCAGAAACGACGGCGATCGCCGCCACGGGAGAAGTTCTGCTAGCCGGGAAGGAGTGGCGACGGGAAAAAAAGTTTTTGTTCTCGTAATATCTTATTTCTTTCTTCCTATTATAGTAATACTACATTGCTTGCGGTAAAATGCTGATGCAGAATCGTTTATCGACTACCCTGCAGATAGGAAAAACGCTTCACGACGCCTCACTAACGGTAACAATCAAATGCTTTGAACGGCCATCTCGAAATAAATTGGTAAAACAGAGACAGAAACGCCAGGAGACAGCCTAGCTTCCCTCAACTTTCAGAGGGAATGCCATGTGCTTTAAGTGGGGAATGGTGGCTCGGATCAGGGGTTCCGTGAGGAGGAAACTGCGCGAAGGAGATTACCAGAATGCAGCTTCGTCGCTTGGGGACAGGTCAACGATCTGCAGACCGCTAGCTGCGACGATGATGCAGCCATGATGGCTGCCGAAAAAATTCTGCTAAAACGATGAGAGGAAGCTATCACGCCATTCCTGACCTTCTCTAGTCAAGCTGCAACTTTTGGGGTTGAGCGTACGCGGCAGTGAGTGAACCTCTTTTGACGGAAGACCAACATACACAAACTGACTGTATCGAGCTGGAATATTCGTCCTTGTTGCGATTTCGTGTTGACGTCAACTTTGAATCAAAGGGATATAAGCTGCGCTTACCGAGGGCGACAGCCAATAATGAGTACAGACTCAATTGCTCTCCAGAAAATTCTGGTCAATTGCTTTGTTCCAACTTCGAATGGACCAATCAGAAGAGCGCGATGCTCCCAAGATCCACCTGACCACGAATCACGCTGGGGGGGCCAGTGAACACCGACACCGAACCAGGGAAGTCGAAGCGATTTTGATATCGATTTGTTTGTGTTGTGCTTTCTGTTGTGCTCCACGGGTTCTGATATCGATTTATTCTTGTGCGAATTGGATGTGGGAAGTCTCATGACGTCATTCTTCTGGAATTCAGACTGGTTGGACCAATGAGGGAAGTACAATTCAAGTCATGGAAGAAACAGAGGTGAAATGAAAATCGATCGTAAGAAGACTCTTCGTCTCGCTGCAGTATTGTACATGCCCTCACAACCTTTCCATTTGTTTGCAAAATGCACAAGGATCATTAGAAGGTGTCTCAAGTACCTGGTCCGCCCCGAGCCTGTTCGTTGCCAGAGTGTGCGTGCCTGGTCCGGAATTCTGGTCCGACGGACTCAGTTCGCAGACCAGGCGTGGACCAGACACGGACTGGTCTGTATGATACATCGCGTCGCGGGCTGTACAGTTTTCGCGAGTTGAAACAGTAGCGATGAGATTCGAACATGCTGTAATCGAGTTACCTTTTTTCTGTGCAAGGTAAATTTCCCCATCCCGTCAAGCACGAAATTCACGAGGGCCGTGCAGTTTCGCAAAGAAATGTGGGAGGTGCTACAGTATTCGGACCAGCCACAGGCTGGTCTGCCGACCAGTTCTATGACACCGATGTAGTGTCTTATGAATTTTATAACGGGGTTAGATTTCCCGCATCCCGGACCAGTCCGTCGCTGGTTCACGTGGTGGATTTCGAGCTGGTCCGTCGGGTCCGCTTCGGACCCACGTGAACTCACGCATTTGAGACACGTCCTTAGGCAACTGTGCCAACTGTCAGATTCATGCAAGCTGATCGCCAGTTAGCTAGGGTGGCTTAGCTCCTAAAGTCCCTCCGTTTCCGTGCATCACGCTGCTTTAGCGATCTTCGTAGTCGTATTAGAAGCTCGTTTGCGCGGTTAGGCCACTGAATCCGGAACAGGGTCATTTGCGGGTTGCTATCAGGAGCCCAAAATGGCTTCGCATGTGCGAAATTCGCTACTTCTGGTCGTCATGATCAGCGCAGCAACGGGGGCTTTCGCCAGTATCAAGCCTCTTCGTGGCGTTCCCCCTCAAGGTGCTTGCGATAAGCTGTCGATATGCGTTACCATATCGTGCGCTAAAATACACTTCGCACCGATCGGATCCTACGAAACTTACATTTTTTGCGCTCTACACTTCCCGTTCAGAATGGTTCTCCCTCCACCCACCCCCCCACACTCCCACCCCACCCCCTTCCTTTCCCCTCTCCTTCCGTTAAAATTGCCACGTACATCCATCCTGATCGTGACTAGGACGGCGAATAGTGGTTTGCCAGCTGGCTTCGCATGCTTGCTTGCGAATCTAGACGGACTCTAGTGGATCGCCAGCTGGACGGGTTTGTGCCACCTCACTTCGTCGGCTGGGCATGGCGTAGTCTTGTCGAATTTGGGCTGCTCAATTCGGTATTCTTTTCTGATGATTCTTCTTCCTGCTCTGTGTTTGCGTCTGTCCCATGAATGTGCGTATGTGTGAATCCGTGATTGTGTTTATGAGCGTATGTGTGTGAGGTGACGGAAGAGGAGAGGGAGGGGAGGGGGCCTGGGGAAAGGAGTCTTTGTGAGGGTAGTCGGGTGGGTGGGGGGTTGAGGCTGGGAGGTTGAGAGATGGATTGCCTTGCCTGTGTGGATATGGGGGATGCGGAATGAGGGTTGGATGGATGGGTGTGGGGAATGGCGAATGAGGGGTGTGTGGCTGAATGGGTGGGTGGGTGTGGTGTGAGGAATGATTGGTTGCAGATAAGGCCCTATTTTCGGGAGTGGTGTTCTCCTGCCGGGATGGTTCCAGAAAGTTGCACATCTCGCGAGTCAACGACGATTTCTGCGACTGCCCTGACGGCACGGACGAGCCTGGCACCTCCGCCTGCCCCAACTCCTCCTTCTACTGCCGCAACCGAGGCCACAACCCGCTCTCGCTCTTCTCGTCCCGAGTCAACGACGGCATTTGCGGTACGTGTGTGTGTGTGTGTGTGTGTGTGTGTGTGTGTGTGTGTGTGTGTGTGTGTGTGTGTGTGTGTGTGTGTGTGTGTAGCATGTGGTGCAGCGGGTATGTGATGCCCAGTTGCAAGCACGGACGAGCCTGGCACCTCCGCCTGCCCCAACTCCTCCTACTGCCGCAACCGAGGCCACAACCCCCTCTCACTCTTCTCCTCTCGAGTCAACGACGGCATATGCGGTACGTGCGTACATGGTACATGGCATGTGTTGCAAACTCCTGCGACTGCTCTGACGGCACGGACGAGCCCGGCACCCCCGCGTGTCCCAACGGGTCATTCTTCTGCCACAACCCCCTCTCGCTCTTCTCCTCTCGAGTGAATGACACCTATGACAAGATTTAAACGCAGTGCATGTGCTCTGTTGCAATCTCTCCCCTCACCGCCTCTCACCGCCCCACACCTCCCCTCACCTCTCTTCACCCCCCCTCACCCCTCCCAAGATTGCTGCGACGGCAGTGACGAGTACGATGGCAGGGTGGTGTGCCCCAACACGTGTTCCCAGGCGGGAGGGCGCTTACACATCACCTCTCTCTTTCCAACCCCGCCTCTGAATTTTTACCACAGATTGCTGCGACGGCAGTGACGAGTAAGATGGCAGGGTGATCTGCCCCAACACGTGCGCCCAGGCGGGGGCAACCAACTTATACACCACCTATCTCCTTCCCCACCCCCGCCTCCGTTGATTCAACAGATTGCTGCGATGGCAGTGACGAGTACGACGGCAGGGTCACCTGCCCCAACACGTGTGCCCAGGCAGGGGCGGCAAGGCAGCAGCAGCTGGATCAACTCCCCTTTTCCCCCCACCGCCACTCGCACCCTCTCACCCCTCCACAGATTGTTGCGACGGCAGTGACGAGTATGACGGCAGGATTACCTGCCCCAACACTTGTGCTCAGGCGGGGGCGGCGAGGCGGCAGCAGCTGGCAGCTGACGTGGCAAAGCACAGGGAGGGCGTGAGGCAGCGGCAGCGGGCGGTGGAGGAGTGGAGGGAGAAGAAGGTTCGGCTGCAGGAGGAGAGGGTGAGGCTAGAGGAGGAGGAGAGAGAATTGCAGGAGAAGGAGAAGATTCTCAAAGGTATGTATGCACGGGGGAGTGAGAGGGCGTGAGGTAGAGGGAGAGGCAGAGGGAGAAGAAGGTGCGGCTGCAGGAGGAGAGAGGGCGGCTGGAGGAGGAGGAGAGGGAGCTGCAGGAGAAGGAGAAGGCTCTCAAAGGTATGTCTGTGTGTGTGCTTGTGCGCATGTGTATGGGTGTGAGGCAGCGGCAGAGGGCGGTGGAGGAGTGGAGGGAGAAGAAGGTGCGGCTGCAGGAGGAGAGAGGGCGGCTGGAGGAGGAGGAGAGAGAGCTACAGGAGAAGGAGAAGGTCCTGAAAGGTATGTATGCACGGGGGAGTGAAAGGGCGTGAGGTAGAGGCAGAGGCAGATGGAGAAGAAGGTGCGGCTGCAGGAGGAGCGAGGGCGGCTGGAGGAGGAGGAGAGGGAGCTGCAGGAGAAGGAGAAGGCTCTCAAAGGTATGTCTGGGTGTGTGCTTGTGCGCATGTGTATGGGTGTGAGGCAGAGGCAGAGGGCGGTGGAGGAGTGGAGGGAGAAGAAGGTGCGGCTGCAGGAGGAGAGAGGGCGGCTGGAGGAGGAGAGAGAGCTACAGGAGAAGGAGAAGGTCCTGAAAGGTATGTATGCACGGGGGAGTGAGAGGGCGTGAGGTAGAGGCAGAGGCAGATGGAGAAGAAGGTGCGGCTGCAGGAGGAGCGAGGGCGGCTGGAGGAGGAGGAGAGAGAGCTACAGGAGAAAGAGAAGATTCTCAAAGGTATGTTTAAGTGCGGGAGTGTGTTTCTATGTGTGTGTGTATGTTAGGCAGCGGCAGAGGGCCGTGGAGGAGTGGAGGCAGAAGAAGGTGCGGCTGCAGGAGGAGAGAGGGCGGCTGGAGGAGGAGGAGAGGGAGCTGCAGGAGAAGGAGAAGGTTCTTAAAGGTATGTTAGAGTGTGGGAGTGTGGGAGAAGGAGCTACAGGAGAAAGAGAAGGTCCTTAAAGGTATTGGAGTGGGGGAATTGGAGGGCTAAGGCAGAGCCAGGGCGGCTGGAGGAGTTGGAGAAGGAGAAGGTTCTTAAAGGTGGGGAAGGGTCTTGGAGTGTGTTCGTGTGTGCGTGTGTGTGCATGTGTGTGCGTACATATGGGTGTGGAGAGTGAATCTTCTGTTTCGATGATGGGAGAAAGAGGCAGGTGCAAGAGAAGGAGGGTGGCTGTTGTTTAATAGAAGGTATATATGGGCATGAGTCTGAGACAGAGGGCTGCGGAATGCTAAGTATGCTGCACTTTTACCTCTCTCCCCTGCTGTTTTCACGCTTATCCACTCCTCTCTCTTCTCTCTGACCGGACCAGAGAGGAAGGAGGCTCTAGAGAAGATAGAGGAGAAGGAGAGGGAGATGCAGATAGAGGAGTATGCAGATAGAGGAGTATGCTTATAAGAGGAGTATGCATGAATTCTGTGAACACCCTTCTTCTCCTCTTCCTCCCACTCTTCTCCCCTCCTCTCTCCCCTTTGTCTGGACCAGAGAGGAAGGACGCATTAGAGAAGATAGAGGAGGAGGAGAAGGAGAAGAAGAGGAAGATAGAGGAGGAAGAGGAGGCCAAGAGGAAAGCAGAGGAGGAGAAGCTTCACCCACCACCCGCCGAACCTGCCGAGCCTGCTGCCACCGAGCCTGCAGCTGCCGAACCAGGGGCAGCTGAGCCTGACTCTGCTGAGCCTGCGGCTGCCGAACCTGCTTCTACCGAACCTGCTTCTACCAAGCCTGCTTCGACGGAACCTCCAGTGCAGCAGGGAATGGTGGGGGAACCCCTTCGTGCTGATGCCGATGCTCCTGACTTTGTTGCTGATTCCCCTGCTGCTGCTGCTGCTGCTGCTGCTGCGGCTGCTGTTGATAGTTTGGTTGCTGGTGATGATGCTGCTGCTGCTCCTGATGCTGCTGCTCCTGCTGATGGCAACGAGAAATCCAACGAGAGTGGCAAGGAGATGGATGATGATGAGAGCGATGAGGACCTGTCGGGGCTGTCTAAGGAGGAGCTGGGGCGGAGAATCGCGTCCCGATGGGCGCATGGGGAGGACGGTCCTGGGGGCGCGGAGGTGGAGGGGGGAGACGGGGACGGGGGGAAGGCGGACGGGGAGGGTGAGGGGGAGGGGGATGATGGGGTTGATTTGGGCGGGGAGGATGGGTTGGGTTATGATGATGGGGATGATGATAAGGACTATGAGGACATGGAGCATGATGCACATGGTGATGATCATGATGAGGATGATCATGATGGTGATGATGGTGATAATGACCATGACCATGGGCATGAGGACCATGCTGATGATGATGCGTTGGAGGATGCGGAGGACTTTGCTGCCCATACGGAGCATGAGGATGATGATCCGTGGCGGCATGAGTCAGGTACGTTACTACAGCACATCATACACATCATACACATCGTACACATTATACACATCATAAACACATCATACACATCATATACATCATACACATCATACACATCATACACATTATGCACATCATACATATTCTAAACGTCATACATAATTTACACATTTTGCACTGCACTGCACCGCACTGCAGTGTACTGCCACACCATTCACAGGCAGTTGTATAATCGTGTCTCCTCCCTCGTCTCCTATTCACTCTCTCTTCTCCCTCCTCCCTCTTCTCGCTCCCCTCCACCTCCCCCTTCTTTCCCCGTCAGCCCCTGCTGCCCCTTCGCCCACATCCTTGAGGGACAAGGCAAGGCAGGTGTGATCGCGGGTCTCCTACCTCGCCTCCTACTCACCCCCCCGCCCTCTTCTTTCCCCCATACCCCCCTTCCCGCTTTTCCTCCCGCCCCACCCTCCTCCCGCTTGCTCCCCGCCATCAGCGCCTGCCCCGCCGCCATCGCTGTGGGACAAGGCAAAGCAGGTGTGGACGCGGGTGTCCGCCCTCGTCTCCACCAAGCCTTCTCTGCCAGTGAACGAAACAGGTGGGTCTGTGAGCGCGTGTAAGTGGTTGGTGCCTAATACGGTACCTCGGGTGTGTTCAAAGGTGTGAGCAGGTGTGACAATTCTCTCAGAGCACAACGGTATCTCATCCCAGCTTAATAAAGCAAACCAACACCTTGAAACCTCCCCTCTCTTCTCCCTTCCCCAACGTCCCCTCCCTCCAACCCCCAGACCTGCTTACAATCCGCTCAGAACACAACCTTATCGCATCCCAGCTCAGCAAGACAAATCAATGCCTTAAAGCGTCCTCTCCTCTCCCCCCTCATCCCAGCTCAGCAAGACAAATCAATGCCTTAAAGCGTCCTCTCCTCTCCCCCCTCCAACCCTCTCTCCTTCTCCAGACCTGCTTACAATCCGCTCAGAATACAACCTTATCTCATCCCAGCTCAGCAACACAAGTTAACGCTTTGAGCTTTCCGCCACCCTCTCCCATTCACTCTTCACTCTTCCTCCCCGGTGCAGATCTGCTGACAATCTGCTCCGAGTACAACTCTATCTCATCCCAGTTTAATAGAGCAAACCAACACGTTCAAACCTCCCTCTTTGCCCCATTCACTCTTCACTCTTCATCCCCGGTGCAGACCTGCTGACGATCCGCTCCGAGTACAACGTTATCTCGACCAAGCTCAGCAAGACTAAGGGGCGACTTCGCACGGTGAAGGAAAACCTGGAGAAGGACCTGGGTGAGTGTGGTGTGGTGTGGTGCGGTGTGGTGTGGTGCGGTGCGGTGCGGTGCGGTGTGGTGTGGTGGTGTGGTGGTGTTCTCAGTAAAGGAAAAGTTCAAGAAGGGCCTGGGTGAGTGGAAAGTCGTTCCAAACAGAGTGGGACCTTTGTTGTCGGATAAAACCCTTTCACTCGCTTTCAAGTCAAGCTTGACAGGGACCTGAGTAGGTGCAGATTTGAGACTTTTGCTGCTATTTTTCTCTCTCTCTTTACCTGCAGGTCCTGACGGCGAGTTTGCTTCATTCGCCGACCACTGCTTCTCCTTCAAAGTCAACCAGTTAAGATGCCAATCCGCATGCACCATGCATGTCCATGCCATGCCATGCCATGCATGCCCATGCCATGCCACGCATTCCAATGCCATGCCCATGCCGTTCTCCATCCAACCACCAACCTCCCCCTCACTTCCTCCCCTTCCTCCCCCTTCCTCCCCTTCCTCCCCTTCCTCCCCCTTCCTCCCCTTCCTCCCCCTTCCTCCCCCTTCCTCCCCTTCCTCCCCCTTCCTCCCCTCCCTCCCCTTGTAAAGCTCGTTTCTCACTTGACCATCCACCATGTTGCTCTTGACCCTCTCCTCCCGTTCCCCCCTTCCTCTATCCACCTCCTCTTCCCGTCCCTTCTCTCCCACACCCTCCTCCCATTCCCCTCCTTCCCAAACCCCCCTCCCATTCCCCTCCTTCCCAAACCCCCCTCCCATTCCCCTCCTTCCCAAACCCCCCTCCCCTTCCCCTCCTTCCCAAACCCCCCTCCCCTTCCCCCTATGATGCGAAAGACGCGTCCTGCGTCCTGGACGCATGCGTCCAGACGCATGCGTCCAGACGCATGCGTCCGGATGCAGGACGCTTCACCAGGACCAGAAAGACGCACCAAAAGACGCAGTCCCGGGCAGGCAAAAAAAACCCCCCCGGGCAGGCAAAAAAACTTGTTATAGGGCATGGGATGAGGGGGGGGGGGGGGGGGGAGAACGTTCCACACTTTCAAGGCAAACTTGGCCCCAACATCAAATTTTCCCCCAAATCTCAAGATTAAGGTGAGTCACGTTAGATGACGTAGGGTTGCTTGAGGAAGCCATAATGGAGCTAAGCTATGCTTGTAGGCTAAAACCTCTAGGGTTTTCGAAAGAGAATTGGTTGGGTGGGTGAAATGAGAAATGACTTGGTTGGATTGCTAAATGGGCTTGGTGGTAGGCACCTTGGTTGGGTTTTCTAGATGTGAAGTGGTTGAGAGGTATTTGGAATTCAATTGTTGCATGGGGGGTTATGAAATGTTGGGGGGGGGGGCTGTTTTTCAATGTCGAATTGGGCAATGGGGGGTCAAAATTTCGCGATTTCGACAGTCGCGTCGAAATCGCGAGATTGAAATTCGTAATCTGGAAAAAAAAAAAAATCGGGGCAGCCCGAAAATTTTTCGATCTGCGTCCTGCGTCTGGACGCGCGTCTTGCGTCCTAGCGTCCAGACGCAGGACGCAGCGTCCTCTGAGCGTCTTTCGCATCATAGCCTTCCCCTCCTTCCCAAACCCCCCTCCCCTTCCCCCCTCCCCTTCCCCCCTCTCCTTCCCCTCCTTCCCAAACCCTCCTCTCCTTCCGCCTTCTCCCAAGACACCCGCCTTGCCTCTCCCCCCTCCACACCCTCCCCCTCTCGTCCCCCTCAACCCCAGATATGAGTACGAGGTGTGCCCATATTTTTTGCTTTTGAGTCGACTCAAAAGCTCCCCCCTCCACACCCTCCCCCTCTCGTCGCCCTCAACCCCAGGTATGAGTACGAGGTGTGCCCATATCGGCAGGTGAAGCAGAAGGAGAAGCACCACTCTGATACCACCGTGGGGTGAGTGAGGGATGCTTTGCGGTGCTGTGTGATGCTGTGTGGCGCTGTGCGGCTTCGTGCGATGCTGTGTGTTTGATTGTTTCTGTAAGAAGGCGAAGCAGAAGAAGAGTCACCAATCTGATACCACTATCGGGTGAGTGAGGGTTGCTGTGCGGTGGTGTGTTTCGTTGTGCAATGCTGTGCAGTTCTGTGCGGTGCTATGTGCCACTGTAAGAAGGTGAAGCAGATGGATGGGGGATCACCACCAGTCTGCTCTGATACCAGTAGTACCCCAGTACTTGCCCCCACAGTGGAGCTACCGGTGTGCTATGCGGTGCTGCGGGGTGCTCAGAGCTGCTATTCTTGTTAGAACGACAAGCCGAAGAAAAGCTTGAAAAGAGTGTTGAGAAGAGTCTCAATATAGTACCACTGCAAGCTTCGTGTCTCTTATCCAAGAATGACCAAAATCGCGCTTCTCCCATCAACCCTCCGTCTCTCGTTCGCCCATCCCTGCAGCATTCGGCTTGCTTGCTTTCATCCCTGCAGCATTCGGCTTGCTTGCTTTCATCCCTGCTGCATTCGGCTTGCTTGCTTTCATCCCTGCAGCATTCGGCTTGCTTGCTTTCATCCCTGCTGCATTCGGCTTGCTTGCTTTCATCCCTGCAGCATTCGGCTTGCTTGCTTTCATCCCTGCAGCATTCGGCTTGCTTGCTTTCATCCCTGCTGCATTCGGCTTGCTTGCTTTCATCCCTGCTGCATTCGGCTTGCTTGCTTTCATCCCTGCAGCATTCGGCTTGCTTGCTTTCATCCCTGCAGCATTCGGCTTGCTTGCTTTCATCCCTGCTGCATTCGGCTTGCTTGCTTTCATCCCTGCTGCATTCGGCTTGCTTGCTTTCATCCCTGCTGCATTCGGCTTGCTTGCTTTCATCCCTGCAGCATTCGGCTTGCTTGCTTTCATCCCTGCTGCATTCGGCTTGCTTGCTTTCATCCCTGCTGCATTCGGCTTGCTTGCTTTCATCCCTGCAGCATTCGGCTTGCTTGCTTTCATCCCTGCAGCATTCGGCTTGCTTGCTTTCATCCCTGCTGCATTCGGCTTGCTTGCTTTCATCCCTGCTGCATTCGGCTTGCTTGCTTTCATCCCTGCTGCATTCGGCTTGCTTGCTTTCATCCCTGCTGCATTCGGCTTGCTTGCTTTCATCCCTGCTGCATTCGGCTTGCTTGCTTTCATCCCTGCAGCATTCGGCTTGCTTGCTTTCATCCCTGCAGCATTCGGCTTGCTTGCTTTCATCCCTGCAGCATTCGGCTTGCTTGCTTTCATCCCTGCTGCATTCGGCTTGCTTGCTTTCATCCCTGCTGCATTCGGCTTGCTTGCTTTCATCCCTGCAGCATTCGGCTTGCTTGCTTTCATCCCTGCTGCATTCGGCTTGCTTGCTTTCATCCCTGCTGCATTCGGCTTGCTTGCTTTCATCCCTGCTGCATTCGGCTTGCTTGCTTTCATCCCTGCAGCCGCTGGTCGGGCTTTGAGGACAACTACCAAAGGATGATGTTCAAGAACTCTCTTCCCCCCCCACTCCCCTCCCCATCCCTCCCCCTCCTCCCACCTCATCCCTGCAGCCGCTGGTCGGGCTTTGAGGACAACTATCGGACGATGATGTTCAAGAATGGTGATAAGTGCTGGAACGGACCCAACCGGAGCATTAAGGTGGGTGGGGTGCTGCTACGGTATGGGGTGTTGGGTTGGGGCACTGCAGTACCAATGGGTGAGGCTTTGAGGACAACCATCGCTCGATGATGTTCAAGAATGGGGATTAGTGCTGGAACGGACCAAACCGGAGAATTAAGGTGGGTGGGTGGGTGGGTGGGCGGGTGGTAATGGGATGGTATGGGCTGGTAAATTCTGTGGTATAGGGTGGGATAGGGTGGTATGGATTATGGTATGGGGGGGATGTTAGTGTATTGCAGTAGCTACAAGCCGGGCTTCGTGATTGGTCACGAAATTCGATGATCGGGAATGTTGATAAGTGTTGGGATCTTTGAGACGTCTCAAACATACACGTCATTCACGTGGATGATCGGGAATGTTGATAAGTGATTGGGTTCCAACCGATCCCGACCATACGGCGGGGTGTTGTCATGGTTGAGTTTTTCTCCGTTTTTTTTTTTAGAACCTCTCTTTCTTCTTTTTAATATTCGAAAATATCTCACCACCACCACCACCACCCATGTGACTGCAGGTGAAGCTGGAATGCGGACTGAAAACAGGGATCAGATCAGTGGAGGAACCCAGCCGATGCGTGTGAGCTGTGCTTGATTCTCAAGGGTGGATCTCTTTTAACCCCTGCTTTTCTGCTCAACTGAGTCTCACTGCAGGTGAAGCTGGAGTGCGGACTGAAAACAGGGATCAAGTCAGTGGAGGAACCCAGCCGATGCGTGTGAGCTGTGCTTGGTTCTCAAGGGTGGATCTCTTTTAACCCCTGCATTTCTGCTCAACTGAGTCTCACTGCAGGTGAAGCTGGAATGCGGACTGAAAACAGGGATCAGATCAGTGGAGGAACCCAGCCGATGCGTGTGAGCTGTGCTTGGTTCTCAAGGCTGGATCTCTTTTAACCCCTGCTTTTCTGCTCAACTGAGTCTCACTGCAGGTGAAGCTGGAGTGCGGACTGAAAACAGGGATCAAGTCAGTGGAGGAGCCAAGCCGATGCGAGTGAGTGTGTCTTCCCTGTTCCACTCTTAGTGATACCTAACACCGTACATGTCCTTCTTCTTTGTTTGCTTTTTTTATTCACTCAAGAATCAGAGCGAACTGAAAGTGCGAGAGGTAGGATTAGGCAATACGAGTGAGTGTGGCTTTACCGTTCCACTCCTAGTTACACCTGTTGCATACCCTTCTTCTTCTTCATTTACGTCTCAATACATCTAAGAATCAGAGTGAATCAATGCGTGAGACAGAGCCCAGACACTTTAGTTTTAAATCTACCATCTGGAGGCTTGCAGGGAGCCCAGCCGATGCAAACGGGTGTCTCCTTTTGTTCCACCCCTAGTGACACATCAATGGCTGACGGTTCCCGCCTCCCCATCTCCCGCTCTCCTTCCCTCCCCATCTCCCTCCACCTTATTAGGTACGAAGCGGTGCTCGTGACGACTGCAGTGTGCAACGCAGAGCTGGCACAGGTGCGGGGAAATGCGACAAATAAAACACTTTTCCACCTTCTGTCATTTAATGGTGCTTGTTTTTGTGCTACTGGTCTGCATGACTCTACCAGTGACCAGCACACAAACCTTGGTCATTCTTTTTTCTGTTCTGTCTATGTTATTTCAAGTGGAGTTACCTAAGTCCCCTGGTGCGCAAATCTTAACACCTGTGCTACTTTATTGCAGGAGCTGGAGAGGCAGCTGAAGCAGATGGAGGATGATTTGGCTGGTCACGATGAGCTGTAACATTCTAGACATTAGGGGTGTAACAGCTGTAATGAATTGTATAATTTACGGCGATGGAGCAGAAGAAGGTACAGGCGTCTACTTTCTTGGCTAGCTATCCTTCCAACGAAGCTCGAACTGTAACGCTTCTTCAAGAACGTGGTTAGAAGACCAATCTAAATATCATACACCTTCCACACACTTCCTTCCACTGCAACAGTTATGGTGCAAGGTGTGCATATTGTGCCGTGTATTGATATGAAAACGGATGCAGTGCAGTTGGAAAGTAAACCGTATTCTCCCGGACATAACACCCTAGGGTATAGCTAGAAATACAGGGAAAAAATGGGGGGGGGGGGTCTCCTCGTAGGAAAAAAAAGACATAATACCCGGGTCTTTACATATGGCATATTTTAGTGTTAGTGTTTTTTTAATTAGTCAATGTGGGTGTTTTGCTGGTCGTTTTAGCATCACTGCCTGAGGCGCGAATGTGAGTTTCGGCCTCGAACTTCATCGCCCCCACGAAAATGGCATGTGGCACCTCTCTTGCCACTTGCAACGGAAGATTCACCTGCACGTGGCGACAGAGAAATAGTGGGAGGGGGCAAATCTCGGCAGATTGCCTTTGAATGTACCGCGAAATTTCATCTAGGGAGAAATTCACACGATATTCTTCCGTATTGCAGCTACTCGTTAACGACTATAATAATGAATCCGTAAGAAAAGGGGGGTGTTATAGAAAATCAGCCAAAAAGGGGGGTATAGTAGAAACGAGGTCTATCATAACACCCACCCCGCACAAGCTACCCGGGGGTGTACAATTATGGGGGGGTGTTTTGTCCGGGAGTATACGGTACATACTGTATGCCTATTTTGCTTGTACGACAATCATCCCTTCCCAGGGAATCCAAACTTCACACCAGAGTACAACAGCTGCTGCGATGCCGATTCACAACACCCAAACCTCCTACCAGGCGCACTTAAGAGTAGCAGTCCACGAAATTCTACACTTCCCAATCAACCAGTATGCACAGTGCACAAAAACGGGTCTTGCGCCGAAACAAATGTTCTACTCTTGATTGCCCCTAGCTGTTGGATTCGTGCCCTAAGACTCGAGCGCTCCACTCTTTTTACTCGTGTTTCTCAGCTGGAGGGTTCTTGATTCCAGCGTAAGTGCGGATGAGGTTTGCCCCGCTGGGGTCGGTGATGAGATGGCTGATGAGGCGGAAGCGGAGAGGGTTGGAGGCGACCAGGAAGGTGGAGAAGGCGAAGAGGAGGAGGTCGAGGGAGGAGAGGTTGGACGCCAGGAAGCCCCGCCATAGCCTGAGGGGTGGAGAGGGGTGAATCAGGGTGGAAAGTGGTGGAGGGGGGCGGAAAGGGGCGGAGAGGGGCGGAGTGGGGTGGAGAGGGGTGAAAAGGTGAGGTTTGTTATTCCAGCGTAAGTGCGGATGAGGTTTGCCCCGCTGGGGTCGGCGATTAGATGGTTGATAAGGCGGAGCGGAGAGGGTTGGAGGCGACCAGGAAGGTGGAGAAGGCGAGGAGGAGGAGGTCGAGGGAGGAGAGGTTGGACGCCAGGAAGCCCCGCCATAGCCTGAGGGGTGGAGAGGGGTGGAGATGGGTGGAGAGGGTTGGTGAGGAGCAAAGAAGGGCGGAGAAGGGTGAGGGGAGAAGCAGAGTGGTGGGGAAGGGTCGAGAGGGGTAACTAAGGGGTGGAGAAGGGGTGGAGGAGAATGGAGAGAGGTAGAGCTCGGGAAAGAGGGAAATGAGAAGGTTTGGTGCAGTAGGAGGGTAAAGCGTCTCACACAGTTGGAAGGCTGAAAGGCTAAGCACACTATCTTCTTCAAACGTAGAAGATATTGCATGCCTGTTTGAGTTCAAAAAAAAAACTTATAAAAGACTCATGTGCAGGCAGTTTCAAAAGCAGGCAATCCCGTGTGGGGGGCAGCTTGAAGAAGGCGTTGAAAATTTCTCGAGTGGCCGGTGAGTCGAACCGCAAAATGAGTGCATTCTGAGTCGACTCATAGGTCACCTAGGTAGGGGGCAGCTCATCTTGGACTCTAAGGTGTATTCCGGTTTGACCCAAAGCTCACCTGGGGGGCAGCTTGAAGAAGGCGTTGTATTTTGAGGCGCCTCAAAATACACCTCACTAATAGGTCACCTAGGTAGGGGGCAGCTCATCTTGGACTCTAAGGTGTATTCCGGTTTGACCCAGAGCTCACCTGCGGGGAAGCTTGAAGAAGGCGTTGAAGAAGTCTCGGGTGGCTGGTGCGTCCAGCTGCAGAACTCAAAGGTGCGTTTTGAGTCGCCTCAAAGCTCACCTAGTGGCAGGTCACTTGGGGGGAGGCTCACCTGGGGGGCAGCTTGAAGAAGGCGTTGAAGACATCTCGGGTGGCTGGTGCATCGAGCTGCAGAATGAGTGTCTTTAAGTCGAACCACAAGGTTGTATGTTGAGTTGAGTCGACTAAATAACTCACCTGGGGGGCAGCTTGAAGAAGGCGTTGAAGAAGTCTCGGGTGGCTGGTGCATCGAGCTGCAGAATGAGCTCGAGGCCAAATATCATGAATGATTGCTGCCTCTTGCGCTCTGCTGACCACAGGTGGTCCCAGGCTGAAAATCCAGAGGGCACAGAGCACGGGGCACAGGGCACAGGGCACGGGGGCACAGGGCACAGGGCACAGGGCCCAGGGCACAGGGCACAGGGCCCAGGGCACAGGGCACCTTGAGTTGCAGCTTCTAGTGAAGTTTGGCTGGGAGAGCGCAGAGCAGCAGCGAGAGCAGTGGCATAGTGGGTAGCTCGGTGTTACAGCCCCACAACCGCACTGCACCTAGAACCTGTCGTAACTCACAGGCCCACACTAAGCAACCTACCTTGAGTTGCAGCTTCTAGCCAAGTTCAGCAGGGAGCGCGCAGAGCAGCAGCGAGGGCAGCCCCACATTCCCACAGCCCCAGAGCCCCACACCTCAATAGCCCCACAGCCCCACACCTCGATAGCCCCACAGCTCCACAGCCCAACACCAGCCTACCTTGAGTTGCAGCTTCTAGTGAAGTTCGGCTGGGAGAGCGCAGAGCAGCAGCGAGGGCAGTGGCATAGTGGGGAGCTTCGGTGAGAGAGCGAGTGATAGAGTAGCCTGTTGGGGAGGGGGGACATTTGGGAAAGAGGGATGGAAACACGGGAAGGAAAGGGAGATGGGGTATTTGAGTGAAGGAACAAGCAGAGCCGCAGCAAGGCAGCAGCATCACCAAAACTCACATGGTGCTTGCGTGCTTGCTTACCTGTGACGACAAGGATCTAACGTTTCACAAAGTTGGTGCTTAAAAAAAACAAACGCCTAGCAAAAAAGCTCACCTGTGACGACAAGAATCTAAGGTTTCAAGAAGTTGGTGCTTCAGAATATCCAATCTCCGATGGTTCGTAAGAGTATCCAATCTTGAGAGTTGGTGGTGCTTACCTGTGGCAGGATGAATCATGGACGCAGCAGCACCAAAGCCCAGGTGCTGCTGCGTGGTAAGAGGGAGAGAGCCGCCCACAGGGATGTAGGACCACTCCTGGTAGGTGGGGCGAAGGGGAGAACTTTTGAGACGTCTCAAAAGGGATGTAGGACCACTCCTGGTAGGTGGGGCGAAGGGGAGAACTTTTGAGACGTCTCAAAAGGGATGTAGGACCACTCCTGGTAGGTGGGGCGAAGGGGAGAACTTTTGAGACGTCTCAAAAGGGATGTAGGACCACTCCTGGTAGGTGGGGCGAAGGGGAGAACTTTTGAGACGTCTCAAAAGGGATGTAGGACCACTCCTGGTAGGTGGGGCGAAGGGGAGAACTTTTGAGACGTCTCAAAAGGGATGTAGGACCACTCCTGGTAGGTGGGGCGAAGGGGAGAACTTTTGAGACGTCTCAAAAGGGATGTAGGACCACTCCTGGTAGGTGGGGCGAAGGGGAGAACTTTTGAGACGTCTCAAAAGGGATGTAGGACCACTCCTGGTAGGTGGGGCGAAGGGGAGAAGGGAAATAGGGGTGAGGGAGGGCAGGGGCGTGGTAAGCAGGGATGGGGAAAGCCCAGGTGCTGCTGCGTGGTGTGAGGGAGAGAGCCGCCCACTGGGATGTAACACCACTTCTGCCCGGAAGGGCGAAAGGGGAGAGGGGAAACAGGGTGGGGAAACAGGTGGCGAACAGGGTGGATGGGACGTGGCAGAAGGGAAAAACCAATGTGTGTTTCAAGTTAAGCACACCTCCTCCCACAACACTCAAACGGCAAATTTGGGAGGAATGTTGGTGACGTTAAGCAATCATTTTGCAGGAGAAATGAAGGGCACCGGCTCACCTCCTCATGCGTCACGGTGTATTTGACCCCCAGCTGTGCCAGCCGGCTGCGCAGGCGCATTTTGAGTTTACCATATCATTCAAACAGTCACCTCAAGTGGAATGCCAATCACGGCTCTCACCTCCTCGTGCGTCACGGTGTATTTCACCCCCAGCTGTGCCAGCCGGCTGCAGTCACTACATGAGCGAAGAACAACAATCAAACAATCACTCTGAAGAGGACGGTCAGACACGGCTCTCACCTCCTCGTGCGTCACGGTGTATATCACCCCCAGCTGTGCCAGCCGGCTGCGCAGGCGCGTTTTGAGCATGTCAAACGGCATTGCAGGGCGGGATGCCAGGCACGTCTCCTGTTGCGAGTTATGTGTGGGTGGGGGGGGAAAGGGGAGGGGAAGGGGAATGGGTGAAACGGGAGACGGAGAAAAGCTTTTCAAGCATGTCAAGTGGCATAGCAGGGCGCGACGACAGGCGAGTCTCCTGTTGCCAAGGGAGGCGTGGGTTGGGGATGGGGTGAAAAGGGGAGTGGGAGAAAGGGAGAAAAGTGTATTTGACCTTGACCCCCAGCTGTGCCAGTCGGCTGCGCAGGCGTGTGTGTCTTGAGCATGTCAAACAGCATTGCAGGGCGGGACGCCAGGCACGTCTCCTGTTATGAGAGAATGAGCGGGTGGATGGAAAAAGGGGAGACGGAGGGAGGAAAGAGACAGA